GTTGCTACTAATCACTATAGATAATGTAACAATAAGATACCGGTTGCCATTGGGCAAACAAATCTACAATCGTGAGAGACAAGCATTCGCAAAGGCCGCTCATAGGATTCCCAAATATGTATTATCTTATTATCTCAAGCTCCTTTGATTCGGTAGATTTACAATTTAAGCTAATTAAATTGAAAAGGGATGTACATTCTCCAGAACTCGGATGAACCTATTGCCAATAGTTGTTAAATGTTTATCTAAACTCAGCCGACGTCGCTCCTATTGGAAAGGCGCTTTCTAGCTCAATATATCAGGGTGCTTCTCTGTCAGTAAATGATGTATTTACGATATTACTACGTTACGACGGGAGTCGTAAACATGAGTTGAATTGAAGAGCATTTCTGTCATAGAAGGACGATAAATTATAATAATAATTTCATGTATGTAATAAGAGATAAAAGTCTTCGTTTATCGATGTTCCCTGGGATTTCACTATGGCTAGGATATAACCGTTTAAAACTTAGATTCAAAATCCGTTATGATGGAAACCAATACTTTAGAGTGCAGACTTGTCCAATATTAGTTTTTATTATTTTGGTTTGCAATAAAACCTTAATAAAATAAGAACATTTAAATTATACTTTCACTAGGTTACAATATTATTTAACTTTATTAAATATAATATCAAAATAATGTAGTATAAACTGTTTAATAATATTTTTAATTATTGTTTATTGATCTTGTAGTTAGCTCAAAACTCAACGAAAGATTAATTAAGTTCGTTCTAGATTTATTCAAGATATTTAGCGATCGGTTTTTTCTTAGAAATATGTTAATAATAATTGCCTTATAAAAACTAAACCAATTAGAATTAAATGATTGTTTGATTTTTACATATTTTTTTTTGCTTTGTTATTTTATTCATACGTTGTAATAACGAAACAATTAGTAGTCATAAACTTATATTTAATTTTCCTGCTACTATTCAGGTTATTTTGCTATTAAAATCATAAAATAAAACTCAATAATTTTACATAATAAATAATACAATATTTAAATTCCAACCAGACTAAAAGAGCTTTATTATGTTTTGATATTAAGATTTATAATGCACAAGCAATTAATGCAATTTGTTAAGATTATTATATTATGATGAACTCCGTGGTCGAGTGGTTTGTACGCCGGGTTTAATGGTGTCACCGACTCGATAGGCCCGGGTTCGAATCCCGATAGGGGCAGATATTGATTCAACGGTTTTGGCTTGAAAGCGTAAAAACACACAGATATATGTGTATATGTATACGGATATCAAATAGTTCCCTCCTTCCTACAATCTGGAGTCCTTTAATAGGCGCGAAGAAGCATTTTTGCAGGCCGGCAAGGTGAGGATGGTTGGTGTGGCAGTTTATAACTGCTGTACGAGCTATCTTCGCGTTTAGACTTTATCACCACTGTTGGCGACTGGCTGGTGTTGGCTGATCTCTTTTATAGAACTTTATCTTTGTATTTTATATTCTTTTCATATGACGTGTTTCTTTTTGATAGTACTTATGTCAGGGTTAGTTGCAAATAAACTGTGAGCTTGAGAAGACCGTGTTTTCATCATATACCAAGTCTACCACATCATACAGTCCACATCGCACGTAGTTATCAACCACTTAACATCAGATGGAGTAGAGTCATTTGCCTACCTGGGTAAAAAAAATGTCAACTATTTTGGTCTCAAAAATTTCTGTAACGAAAACCCTTTCCCTGCCCATTTCTTAGATATATGCAAATCTAATTGACACTGCTCACTTAGTTAAGAATTCTGGCTGTGTCGCGTACTCATACGCGATACGCACAACAAAACCAAAGCTTATGTTACGCAAAGTATCGCCGCTATTACACCTGGCCCATACGCGCCGAGCGCCTATTACACAATGAACATTGCCCATTAAACGCCTAACACAATACTTGGACGCAAAACAACAAAATCATTAATTGATTCACCAAAAATTACAAATTTCTTTGACGTAAACAATTTGTTTTTCATTAAGTGTAATTACAATTAAAACTGGGGTACTTATTACATTGCGCAAGTTGATTTGCAACATAAACCTAATTAAGGCTCTCATTTCATTTTTATAAAAACAATAATAAGCTAGCTGTAAAATGTATCCGAACTTCCTATTTGAAGTAAAGGCCAATACCTAACTTGTGTTATTAACAAGCTGCTGATCAAGATTATTTTTAATATTTTCATACATAATATACAACGTGTAAGTCAAAATTTACGTTAGATTTGATTAATTTAAAAATGGATGCATGATACGATTTTTAATACGTCCAAATAATTTCCTAACAATCTTTTTGAAGTTATACTTCTTTAGGCGCGTAATGAAAAAATTATGAGAGTGAAATTTTAAGATGCGCGCGCATCACTGTAACACAAAATTTTAACAGCATGAAGTTGGTCGCTTTAGCGACCAACTTCATGCTGTTACTTTTGTGTTTACCACAAATTAAGAAAATCTACCAACAAAATAGATATAGAATCTCTATTTAGTGGGTGCTAACGACTGCATTGTGAAGGCCTATCAAAAGTATTTATTAATCTGAAACAACGGAACCAAAGCGCGATTCAGGAGACTACAGCGCCATCTCTTGACCATTGGTGTAGTAGAACCAAAAACCACATCTTTATTTTTTGTAATAAAGTAACAGTTATAGGTATTCATATTTATAATATTTATCCACATGTTTCTAGTTTGTATATTCGGAATACGTGTTTGAGTTTCATACAAGTGCAAATCACATATGTTCTAATAGCGATTTTAATTGAATATTTTGATTATTTATTTATTTTTTCAAATTAAAACTGAACTTTATTGACTGTGTCCTTTTCCAGACTTTTTATTAATTTATTGTAATTAATTATTTGCATGCAATTAAAAATTAATTTTAAACGATGCCAAAGAAGGATAACTTCTCACGCGCCTACATAAGTACACGCACCCATTTTTAGCATAATATGTATGAAGAAAATGGATGAATAACTCCACAACTTAACATGAGGGCTTATTTAAAACATAGAAACATAGAGAATATTAAAGATATTTATATTGTTAATGGTACGATTGATTTAAGTTAGGATTTCATTGTTATTCCCATACCTACATACGAAGCTTCAATTCGAAACCATAAGTTACCAGGTCTTTAGTTAAAATCCTATTATCCCTCTATATTATTTATTTATTTTAGCACAAAATTAACTTTGAATATTGAGATCTAAAAATAATTCATATTAACTTCACAGTAAGCTAAGTAACTTTGACGAGTAGATTGTAATGAATTCATTAGTCGATTCAGTCGGCGGGTATGCTAATCTCAGTATTGCGTATGTCTGCACTTTAATGTATTCACACAACACGACGACTCGAGAAGCCAGGGAAGTAACAGATAGTGAAAACTGAAACCGAACTAATGTGTTGGTTTGCATAGTAATATATATTTCTTCAATTTTTAAGCAATCGATTATTATACATTTGAATTTTCTCACATTAGTTGAATAAATATATAAAATATATATAAAAACTAGCTGACCCAGCGAACTTCGTACCGCCATAAAAAATAGGGGTTGGTGGTAGAAGGGTGAAAATTTAGGGTTGTATATATTTTTATATGATGTATCATAAAAAAATTAAAAAAATATATCTAAAATTGAAAAAAAAAAATTTTGGGGTGGATTACCCTTAACATTTAGGGGGATGAGAAATAGATGTTGTCCGATTCTCAGACCTACCCAATATGCACACAAAATTTCATGAGAATTGGGAAAGCCGTTTCTTAGGAGTTTAACCACAAACACCGCGAATTTTATATATTAGATATAAAACCCAGAATTACTATTACAAATTTTAAACCTTGTCATGTTTACCTTAGTATGATGGTAAATGGAGCTTATTGTTCAACTTAGCCGTTAGAAACGGTCTGGTGTGCATGTGTGCGCCTTAATTACCCTAAAGACAATAGTTTTCGCGTCGGTATGGGAGTCCACGCGCGGTGGAAATGCGCGCGCGCCGTCGACTACAACGCCGAGAACGAAAGTGATTATCTGTCGATAACTTCAACATTTTTACTGAACAGGTAGTGTTTACGTCGCGAAAGTCACGGAGTTTCCGACAATTATGAATAAAAGTAAAGTTTTCATGGATCAAAAAATAAATATTTGATAATTTCACTTGACAACACAAATTTTCTTGCCATTAATCTTGATGTTGGTATCCCTCGATGCGGTTGGATAAATAACTGTTCGGTCGAAAAACTGTCTCCATATTCTAATAATAAAATATTCAAAATAGAAAAAAAAAGAGAGCTTTAATTTATCTGTCAATCAGGTTGCGCAATCTCGAGGAAAGTGTGCAGTTTTCAAGTGCTATCACTGCTCACATAAACATTATCAACGATGAGCGGGCACTTTTTAAGTTCACATCATTCACTAAAAAGTTTACTACACTTACGAAAGTTGCGTTTTGGGAATTCACACAGCCGACAAATTCATTTAACGAAACTTCATACAATAAAAGATACAAATGTTTTTAAATCTAAACAAAAGTTTACTAGAAAAAAATCCACGCGGACCAGGCAGCGGACGGGACTCGAAACCGCATCCTTCGCTATCCGGGCGAATGCACTGACCATTATGCTACCACGGCCCTATTCGCCGCGTCGAAATTTTCCCAGCCTTTAGCTGCAAGGCAGCGCCATCTCTTCGCATTGTAGGTAACCCACATTGTAGGTAATTAAGGCTAGGAAAATTTCGACGCGGCTAATAGGGCCGTGGTAGCATAATGGTCAGTATCCGCTGTCTGGTCCGCGTGGATTTTTTTCTAGTAAACTTTTCTTTAGATTTAAACATATAGCAGTTAAATGCTTAAAAAATAAATAAAGTCAAAACTTTTCAAACTTTTTGGGGGGAATACCCTTAAAAAAATTGCAAATGTCCCGAAAGTGTGTGTGTTGCGTCTCACCTGTAATGATCGCTAGTGTAAGCGCCACAGCGCCGAGGAACCTCATCTTAATGCTTGCGCGCACAGAACACGGGGTACAATACAAACACAGCACAGCACTATCACCACCGGGGCATCGTAGCGCGCGGTCGAAAGGCGCGCGGGCGCGAGAATGTGCTGGCTGCGGGCGCGCAGGCCTCGCAGCGCAGACCGCCAGTGGAGGGGCGCGCCTTACGCCTTACGTCTTACGCCTTAAGGGTGAAGCCAAACGAGCGTAATTTTGTGAGTTGTGAGTCGCTTATTTTCGGTCACTTATTTTACGTTCAACTGAATTTCTGTTGAGCTGCCATACGAACGTAATTTATTCAGTATTACCTTTGAGCGTTAGTACGGGGTGTTCGTGTCGTCGAGTGCAATGGATCTATTAAAAATATTGTGTATTTACGAAGCATATTCAGAAGATGAGGCCAGAAATAGAAACTGGGTAAACCCACTGAATAGTCAGAGGCTGATATGTGGACAGTTCCATACTTTATATGAACGGTTATGTGCAAATGCAGATATGTTTGAAAAGTACGATCATATGCCATTACGTGTTTTTCAAGAATTATTACAGCACGCAACATGTAACAAACTGTTGCTTCCCCACTCCCTACCCTCACCCCGACCGAAATTCGGACGAGCTTATGCGCATTGAGTCGGCAGACAACTCATTTTGCGTTGTCGTGTGGCATCAACTGCCTTTTTGTATGATACCGAATGCAGCAGAATTTCTGCGACCGAAATTCTGCGACTCACAAAATTACGCTCGTTTGGCCTCACCCTTAAGGGTTACGGAAGCACTCCAAATGTCAGGGATTTGGTGCAAAGCGACCGCGGCCGGGGTGCGAGCCACAGAATTCGCAATACACTGTTGTTGATAACCAACCATTGTTACAGTGAGAGAGCGAGTTAGACGCGAATCATCAGTGTTGGTCCATATTCCGAAGGTCCTTACAACAATCGCTAGATAAGTGTAGGTACTTTTGAATGTGGTGACTCAAATGAGTCTTGTAAAATCTAGTTCCAAAAAATCGTAAGAAAATACTACACATTTATTTTATCAAAGATAGTAAATAGTAAGGTTAGCCCAAGCTGATATGCATAATACTGCCATAATATTATCATCATCATCAGCCTATTAATGTCCCCACTGCTGGGGCACAGACCTTCCCTATGGATGGAATAGGGAGATTGGGCCATGACCCACCACGCGGGCCCAGTGCTAACGACTGCAGATGCAGCCGGGACCAACGGCTTAACGTGCCTTCCGAAGCACGGAGGAACTCGAGATAGTAAATTTTTGGTCACCCATCCAATGACCGACCACTGCGAAAGTTGCTTAACTTCAACGATCGCAGCCGAACACGCTAACCACTTGCGTGAGCTCCTCCATAATATTACAATTCCGAAAAATTTAAGGCGATACTTCAAAACACATAATGTTTTATAATACAAATACGATATATTAGATAGATCAATTTGTTAAGAAACACCTGTCATCGTGGTATAGATCATTAAGAATAGTAACTAAAACTATAGTTTAAATCTAAAAAATCCACGCGGACCAGGCAGCGGACGGGACTCGAACCCGCACCCTCCGCAATACGGGCGAATACACTGACCAATTATGTTACCACGGCCCTGATGGCCGCGTCGAAATTTTCCTAGCCTTAAGCTGCAAGGCAGCGCCATCTCTTCGCATTGTAGGTGACCCACAATGTCAAATGAATACTTTTTCAAGTACTAAACATTTGAAAGAAGAAATAGAAATTATAGTTTTTTTTAAAGCATGTAACTGCTTGATGTTTAAATCTAAAGAAAATATAACTAGAAAAAATCCCATGCGGACCAGGCAGCAGACGGGACTCGAACCCTCACTCTTCGCAATCCGGGCGAGCAGTTACATGCTTTAACAAAAATTATATATTATTTACAATTCCCAAAAATTTAAGGCGACACTTCAAAACACATAATGTTTCACAATACAAATACGACATATTAGATAGATCAAATCGTTAAAAAAAAACACCTATCATCGTGGTATAGATCATTAAGAATAGTAACTAAAACTATAGTCGACAAATGATCATGAGCATATTCTGATAAGATCATTAAACGGTGATGCGTTGAAGTCTTTTCTATGCGAGTTGTGCACTGCGCCCGCGCCGGCTCGCCGCATCTCATACTTATTGTTATATACAGATCTTGCGACCTCATAAATTTTATGGGACCGGTATTAGAACTCAATGTTCGTGCTCTGAAACCCTCGGAGCAGTCCTCCCACTTTCTCATACCAGTAATTACTGGTCTGTAGCAAGTCTGCGTCTTCATTTAATCTATATTACTTATAATAAATCTGTAGAGAGGTCAATTCTGTACATGAAATATATTTTCAAAATAACTATCAGGGGGTGATTAGTGATCGATACTGATGCCAAAAATGCAATCAGTAAAATTTTTGTCTGTCTGTCTGTCTGTGTGTATGTTCCTTATAGAAACAAAAACTACTCGACGGATTTTAACGAAACTTGGTACAATTATTCTTCATACTCCTGGGTAGGTTATAGTATACTTTTCATCACGCTGCAATCAATAGGAGCAGAGTAGTGAAGGGAAATGTTGGGAAAACGGGAGAAGTTACTCCATTTTTTAAGCTTCCGTCGCGTGCGCAGCCTTAATGGTTAAAGTTACATAGAAATCATGTATGACGGAAATATTCTACATAAAATTGTCTAAAAAATATCGTGCAACAGCATATGTCTATCTTTTATAGTTTATTCACAATAATACGTGTAACTCCTGATAGCTTAGCAGTTCGGAGCATTCTGATTATATTTGTTTACTCTTACGTTTATAATACTCTCACTCATCCCTAATTTTATTTATTTGTATGGCATTGTCTTGTCACAGGAATCAGACTTTTAAATCTAAATGTCTTAGCCAATTGGCAGCGTCGTTATCGAGGGAGACCAGGTCCTCCATCGCACCATCGTATTTGTTAAGGGGACAATCCTGTACGATGTGTTGGATGGTCTGTACGTCGGCACCGCATTCACATCGGGGCGAGTCGATCCAGCCGCATCGATGTTTGTAGTGGGCACAGAGACCGTGACCCGTCCGCAGTCTGTTGAGGAGGCACCACTCTCGCCTGGGCAGATCAAAGCCTGCTGGCCTCACTCCTGGGGTGAACTTTCCAGCAAGTGTGTCTTCCAGTCACTCCTCCATTGGGTCCTCGCATCAAAACCATCCTCGAGCATGGTGGCTGCCGTATGGCATGGTGGTCTGCGGGACTTGAGTCTAGGTTCGCTTCGGTCTAGGAATTCTTCACGTATAGGTAGTTCAGCGTTGGCTTTGATCTTCCTCACCTCTCTAGAAAGGGCCAGTTTACGGCGAGTGGCTGGGGGCTCTATATTGCACAGAACGGGAAGCCAGTGTGTTGGGGTCGATTTAATTGTTCCTGAGATGCACCTCATGGCCTTATTAAGTTCGACGTCTACCTTGTCCGTGTCGGCATTATTCAGCCAAGTTGCTGCACAGTACTCCGCCGTTGAGTACACGAGTGACAGTGCAGTAGTACGTAGGACATCCGCGCTTGCTCCCCAGGAGGTACCAGTCAACTTGTGTAAGATGTTATTACGGGTCTGCAGTTTGCGAGAGGTCTGACACAGGTGGTTGTTAAAAGTGAGCGACCGATCGAGCGAAACTCCCAGGTATTTCGGATTCCGGTTGTGGTTCAATAGTTTTCCGTCCCACATTATTTTGAGCTCGCGATCTGCAAGTTGGTTGTGTAGGTGGAAACAGCTGACTTCGGTTTTGCTCGTGCTTGGAGTCAAACGCCACAGCTTGAAATAGCGGGACATTGTAGCAGCATCTTTGGACAGGCCTGTTTCCAGCGTACTGAATCTGTTGCTCTGTAGTGCGAGGCAGATGTCATCGGCATAAATAATTTTCCTGGCGCTGGTGCGAGGTAGGTCGTGGATGTAAAGGTTGAAGAGGGTGGGCGCCAGAACCGACCCTTGAGGCAACCCGTTGGAGAGTACCCTTGTGTCGCTCACTTTGCAGCCGAGGTGCACTCTGAATACGCGTCCAGACAACATGTTGGCGACCAAGCGAAACATATTCATATTTGGGACTACTTTAAGTAGTTTGAGAAGCAGTCCGTCCCTCCATACTGTGTCGTAGGCTGCAGTTAGATCTACGAAAACGGCACCCGTCTTTAAACCTTTCTGGAATCCCGCTTCTATGTGGGTGGTTAGAGCCAAGACCTGGTCACTACAGCTCCTACCAGTCCTGAAGCCCGCCTGTTCTACAGGGATGACCTGGTTTATCAGAGGAGCTATGCGTTCCAGCACTATCCTTTCGAGTAGCTTGAAACAGTTGCTGAGGAGCGCAATCGGGCGATAGCTCGTGGGATCATCCGCTGATTTGCCTGGCTTAAGCAAGGCGATGACTTTTGCCTGCTTGAAGGCCCCTGGCAGAGATTGGGAGTTGAGGATCACAGTAAACATGTTTGATATCCATGTTCTAGTGTGCACTCCGAAGTGAATTAGGAACTCGTTGTATATTCCATCGCATCCAGCGGCCTTCCCAGGCTTTAAGTGACGCACGGCTTTACAGACTTCATCTAGAGTGAACGGTTCGGAAAGGTACGGAGAGTTAACTTTATTTTTCTTAAGCTCACTTAGTACGTATCCCTAATTTAAAAAAGTTAACATTATTACCTATTCAATAAAAAAAGAATCATAAAAAAGGAATTAAATAAATAAATTCAATGTGTACGCCTGAGAACAAAATCTATAGTCTACACTACAGCTCTACAGCGAAGCGAAGCGAGGGCGGGCCACTAGTCCATACTAATGCTATAAAGGCTGGATAAAATACTATAGCAATTTTTGGTAAATATTTAAGAATATATGATAGACTGCTTATCGTTTCGAGGATATAGCCTGAATGGGTGGAATAGGGTATGAAAGTTTGTAGCACATCACAAGCTTATCAATGTCCCCACTGCTGGGGCACAGACCTTCCCAATGGATGGAATAGGGAGATTAGGCCATGATCCACCACGAGGGCCCAGTCCTGATTGGCGGGTGCTAACGAATGCAAATGCAGCCGGGACCAACAGCT